AGCGACAGCAGCAGCCCTCTTCCTGACGCTTATATTCTGTCACACCTTTAGGCAGGTAGCACTCACACCCAGTGTGGGCCTTCCTATTATCCACACCCAGAACTATGCCAAATCAATCAGCAGACTAATTTAGTAATCACACATCCTTGATCCCAGCACCACACACTCTAGATCTAGGCACCTCTAAGAAGCCCCACCTATGACCACATGATACTTTGGGGGACATCTAGACACAAGACATAACAGATGATAAATACTGAGAAGAAACTTGAGCCCAAGTCTATATACTCAAAACTACCCTTAATTGGAAAATATACATACTAAAAAATATAATGCTAGTTCAATGTTTATAAATTACTTCATTCTGAACAGAATTTTCTAAAAGCATTATTAAAAGTTATTATTTACTTTCATTCAAATTGTAAATACAGGCATAGAAGCATGAAAAAGCTCGGAAATTATAGACTCTACCAAAAATTGCTGCTTTTCTTATAGTTTTGCTTTCTTTGCCAAATAATTATCTGTTGCACAAAAATAGATGTAGACAGTAGTTATTCATGTCTAATCAAACCCACAGGATTTTTAATGAAAAAAGCACAGTTTATAAATATCATGAATCCTGAACTTTAACTTCAGGATAATTGGGAAACAAAAAGAAACATCCCTCAGACAGTAGATTCAGCTACAGAAGCTTGCCTGGTGACAGCTGGCTAAAGATTATATCTGAAGGAGATATTAACTTCTTACTAATGAAGAAATTAACAGATAAACAACTAATATTTGAGTGTGAGTCCATTTTAATTTCTCATAAGAGAAAAAGAGTAAGTGAGTGGAAGGACCCATGAGTTCTGTAGAGAGCATCTAAGCCAACTGATAGTAACTTTTACAGAAAATGTGAGCTTTCTCTGGAGGTTGCCTCTAGGCCAGACATTAGTTTTAAAATGGCATAACGCGACCTCATGAATAATTTGAGTTATAACTTCATGAACTTCAATTAAAAAGTTACACAGAGTTCCACAGCATAAAAGCTAGACCTGACTAATTTACATTTCAGTCATGGATAAGAAGAGGAGATAAAGAAATACACGTCATCTGGAAGATGGCAAAGAACATGGTCACATAATGGACCAGTAGAGTCCATCAGAACCATGTGTTTATTTCAATGTTTGGCCAGTTCCGGAGACCACTGCTTATTTTCTGTATAAATTGTTTACAAAACTCAAGATATGAGAACAAGAAGTTGTGTTGTGACTTGAAGACTAACTCAGAGTCTAGGATTTCAAGTGACTTGTTTACCAGTATCCAGGGAAGAATTTAATGCAGTCGACCACAGGAATGAACAATGTTTGTGTGCTTGCCTTAAAATTAATCCCAAACCCTCTATGTGAAGCACTTTAAACATGTTAGAGTCTTGAAGAAATAAAGCAATGTTCTGTTTTTCGTGTGGTATAAGTGAGTAGCGATGCCTTATCCATTACATATGTATAGCATGAGCAATTTGTACCAATAGTACCAAACTCATTGCAGTTCTGAAATGCATTCATCTTGTAAATACATGTGCACACACATGGAAAGAGAGAGTATTCATGCTGTTTGTTCTGTCTTTAATATGTTTCCTTGACTTTATCCTGTCTTTGAAATGGTAACATGTAGAGGAGACATATATGCAGCCAGCATTGGCTTATATAATTCAGTGGAAAACAAAATTTAAAAGCTCATCTTTTATCAAAATAAGTTAGTGGCTTTCTCCTATCCTCTTATTTTCTCAGCTGAAATAAAATTTCTCTGTGGATTTTTTTTATGTTGCTTCAACATTTAGACTTTGTAATATTTTCTTTTATTTTCCCAAGTGAGAAATAAATTAATCCAGGCATAAGGTTGTGATTGAAAATTTTCTCAATACCCAGAAATATTCTTTCCTATGCAGTTTTGGTTATCTCCAAGGAAAGTGTTCGAGAAATCAGTGGTGTGTGCCTCCAGCAGAGCAGGGGGACAGCAGGCCTCAAAGAGCAAGATGCCTGCAAGAGGTACAGAGTGAAGTTTATCTTTCTGGATCCACAGGATTATCTTATAGTTCTATAGGTAGATATTTTAAACATTTGAAAGGATGTTTATAACAAAAATATCTATTTTTGTGTCTTTCCGTTATTCTTTTACTTTTTAAAAAGTTTACATTGGGCACTGACATTTGAAAGTTTACATTGGGCATGTCAGTCTCCTCTCAGGGAAAAATTTGAAAGTGTGATATGGAAAATAAACTTATCATGAGCTCATGGAAGTGAAATACGGTGGCTCCTCTCAAACTGAAGATGGGAAAATGCCCACGGCCCTATCAGGAGGAAGAGATAATCAGTATGTAGCCACTAAGTTAAGACCTGCCTCTCCACTTGAGCTGTTGGTGGATCAGTATCTCTGAACGCTGATAAAAAGCCTGTAGCTATCACTAAGAAACCCTATGTGAAAGACAAAGCTAAGCAAATTTGAACATGCAGAAAATGGATCAGTGCGATCTAAGTGAGATAGCAAAGGGATGGGACGGAAGGACGCAGGGAGACTGAAGTGTGTGTGAGGAAGGAGCATATTCAGACAACCATTCTCACCTATTCCAGGGGAAAAACTGCTATGGTAATACTGAAGTTTATATTTTTAAAAAGAAAAACTACAGCCAAGAGCTAATTCAGAAGCAAGAAAACTATCAAAAAATGAGATGGCAGAATTTTATTTGGGGGACAATAGTACATAAGTGGGTATTTTTTAAAGAAGAGCTTTGCAGTCATTTTTATAAGCTCAGGCATCAGCAATAGTGTTGGAGAAGAAGAATGGGTAGGAAATGATTCCCTCAATCTGGACACAGAAAAGTCATCTTTTCTGACGACTGCCTATCTTGTTGAAAATATGGTGTTTTACAAGGACTTTTAAAGTAATGGAATTTCATCTCAGTCAGTGTCACCTGATATATTGGATACATTTAATTTTTAATCAAATTTTATTTCACTTCAAACTATTAAGACAGAGGTATTTTTATAGTTAACAAGGCAAATGTTCTATAGAAGATAATGTAAATGTGTTCACCAGCACTATCTATAATCATTGAGAAGATGTAACAGATAGTTAAGAAAGTATTTTTGTTCTACACTGACAAAACTACCTATGAGGCAGTTTTTACAAAAACAAAATGTTTTTCCAACTTTTTCCCTTCTTTCCTTCCTTCTTTCTTTTCTTCTTTCCTAACTTGAAAGCTTATGACTGTTTAAAATACTTTTTCATACTTTTAAATTTATTTTTATTATACTTTTGCAATCACAGTAGTCCGCCCCCTGCGTAAAGCAGGTGAGGTCCTTCACTGAATCAGTTCAGAACATCTCTTGCTTAACTGGATGCCCGATTCTTCGGACTGAAAGCTCTTCTAACCACAGGTAACCTTGAAGTCAGGTCATCTTCTCAACACACTAAACTCCTGTTTATGCTCAGTGTTGAAAGGAAGCTGAAATCCTGTCATCATTTTGCACAGATGCTGTCAGGCACACCATTTCATGCTGACCCAACCTCTAAACAGCTAATAGTGGCACGGTTTGTTGTTGTTTTCCAAATAAAGTTTAGTACGTGTCCTCTTGGAGCGTGTTGCTATGTGCCGGGCGCATTCTCCAAGAGAAGATGTTTGAACACCAAGAGACTTCTTTCCTGGGAATGGGAAACCAAAACCCTTATGTCTGAAATTATGAAGGACACAGAGTCTGGTTGCCCTATATGTGAGAGGATGGTAGACTACACCCTGCCTGTCTCCGAGTCCCTGCCTGTACTCACGGTGGAAAATAAATAATCTTCTGGGATGTAAAATCTATTGTCATGGAGTTAACATGTCTGAGATTTTCTATCCTTTAAGGTACTGCTGCATTTGGCAGTGAGAGAAGCGAGCAGTTTAACAATCCAACAACCATGTTAAGGTTAACTGTTTCTGGCCAGTAAAGGCATTAGCCAACTACGAATTCTTTATCTGTAAAATGAAAATACACATGCAGCATTGGTTTCCTGACAGTATTGCTAAGACTGACTCATATTTCCAACTAATGCTGAAGATTCTTGGTATAGTTACAAAGAAATAATAATAGGAATTTTTAAAGTATGCTTTGATGGAAAATGTCTTTAATCCTGTTAAAAAATACTCGAATCCATTACCGATCACCTTTCCTGAGGACAAACAGCTTCTAATGTGATAAATGCTGTTGTTTATATTCTTAGCAAAAATAGAACATAGTTCTCTGCTTCACCCAGGCAGACAGCTAGATTTGGTCCAAATTCTACAACTCACTGTGCTTTTCAGTGCCTAAAACCATCTTCCCTCTCACATAGTCCCCGCGAACATTATGTAATTATTGTTATGCAAAAGAAAATAGACTCAGCCCTCGAACTCGCTGGGCAGCGAAGATCTTAGATATTTGCAAACCCCGCCCCGCTGCGGCGAGGGCGGGAGGGCGGAGTGGACGGGCGGACGGGGGCGCTAACCGCGCCGTGGCTCTTCGTGGGCGACGCTCCCCGCGTGACTGGCGCGGTGGCGCCCGCGGTCGGCGGCTCTGCTCCGGAGGCGGCCGGCGAGCAATCCGCGTGCGGTGTGCGCGCGATCCTCCCTGCCGGCTCCTCGCGGTTAAGCCACTCCCTCCCGCCTCCGCCTCCCCGCCCGCCTCCTACAGTGCCTCGACTTCCCCTGCAGTCCCTCCTCCCAGCCCCGCCGGCGCTGCAGCCCTGCGCCCGGCCCCGCGCCCGGCCGGAACCGCGGAGTCCACAACCTGGGCCGGCCGGGCCGGGCGAGCCGACGGCGCGCAGGGGGTTAAGCCTGCTGCAGCCGAGTCCGCGCGCCCTGCCCACTCCGCTCCCCACTCGCGGCCAGCGCGGGCTAGGGCCGCGATCGCGCAGAAGGAGCCGACGGGGGCGAGCGGAGCTGCCGGGAGCTGCGCGGCGAGGCGGGCGCGCGAGCCGGTGCGCACGGAGCCGCTGGCCGGGCCGGGCGCGGGATGCCGGCGGGGGCGCGCGCGGGGCTGTGAAGCGGGGCCGCTCTCCGCACCGGTCCGCGGGGCGCTGATGAGCCCCCTGCTCCGGGAATGATGGGGGTCCTGGCGGCGGTGGGGCTGGTTTTCTTCTCGGCTGTGTGTGTGCAACCAGGGCTCTGCTCCCAAGGTAAGTGTGCGCGGAGTGCACACTGGCTCGTGTGTGCGCGCGTGTGCGTGTGTTCCTGCACTCAAGAGTGCACGGCCGACGAGCTAGGCTCCGTGGCCGCCAGTGGTCTGTCGTGTGCTCCGTGCTGCTGGGCGTTTTTCCCTTAAAGTTTAGTAGATTGCAGGCGAGCGAGGCTCGGGAAGGCGAGTTGGTGCCCGCGAGCAGCTGCGCTCCCCGCAGGGCACAAGCACGGGCGTGCGTGTGTGCGTGCGTGTGCGGGGTCTCGCCACACAGCTGGGGGCTCGGCCCGGCCGCCCGCGCAGCAGCCAGGCTTCCACTGCCCCGCTGGAGCCTCCAGCCGTGAACGGAGCCGCGCGGCGCCCGGACCGCGGGCACAGCGAAGGGGGCGGCTCGGCTCCGGTCGGGCCGCGGGCGGCGGCGGGCTCCCCAGAGCCAGGCGGGCGCTCACCCCGAGTCGCCCCGCAGGCCTCAGCCCCTGCCCGGCCAGAGCGGCTTGCGCCCGGCATCCCAGGCCAGGCCGCTTTGGGAGGCGCCGCACGCGGCCCAGAGCGGCGGGACCAGCGCCGCGTCGCCGTCCCGACCCCGGGGCCGCCTCTCCGCCGCGCTCAGCCCGAGGTCTGCGCGTCGCCCACCGTGGGCTCGCGGTGCGGGCGCGAGGGGGCGGCGTGGAGGTGATCGGGGGCGCTGGGCTCCGGACGACGAGCGGACCCCGCCTGCGGCCGCAGCACGCGCTTCGCAGCCTGCAGCGCCCCTCCGCGGCGTCCGGACCCGAGCCCTCGAAGTTTGTGGGCGCTGCAGGCTGGCGGAAGGTCGGGGTCCCCGGCGGCCCGGCCGCAGGGAGGGGATGGCCGGCTCGGTGGCTCCGGCGGCAGAGCGGCCGAGGCGAGGCCGAGCGGGCGGGCGGGCGGGGTCGGGGCGGTCCCGGGCCGGGCGGAGATGGAGACGCAGAGCCGCGCTTCTGTCTTGCAGCCAAATTCACCGAGTTCCCGCGGAACGTGACGGCCACGGAGGGGCAGAACGTGGAGATGAGCTGCGCCTTCCAGAGCGGCGCCGCCTCAGTCTACCTGGAGATCCAGTGGTGGTTCCTGCGCGGGCCCGGGGACGCGGCGCCCGAGGGCGGCCTGCAGGTGGGGTCCCGGCCCGGCCCTCGCCGCCCGCTCTCGAGTGCGCACCCCAGCCTGGCCGGGGGCTGCCGGGGACCCGGGGACCCGGGGGCGCTCGGGGCTGAAGACGCCAGGGGTGCGGGCTAGGAGGAGCTCCGAGGAGTCCATCCGGACCTGCGAGCCCCGCCCCGTCCTGTTCCAGTCCGGAGGCCCGCGGTGCCGTCCGTCACCCCAGCCGGGCCAGCTGTGGGGAGACCGAGACTGAGGGGGGGATGCGGAGGGGGGTGGGCGGGGGAGGAGGAGGAGCGAAGTCCTGAGGCTGCTGGGAGGGTCCAGTCCTCTGGACCTCGGACCTCGGGGCAGACGGGCCCTGACCGAGGGACGGGAGCTGCCGCCCTGCGCCGACCCGCAGCAGCCTGACGCCCCGTCTTTGTCCCGCAGGCGGAGCTCTTGCCCGACCGAGACCCGGACCTGGACGGCACCAAGATCAGCGTGAGTGTCAGGCGCGGGCGGCAGGGGCTCCGGCTAGGTGCGACCCGGGTCGGCCTAACCCGGAGCGTCTGCGCTTTCACCAGAGAGCCCTGTGGCTGGAGAGCGCAGAGCCTGGATTTCTCCTGTCTGCCAGACCTGGGGTAGCGGGACGTTAGTTATCCCCAGAAAGAGGCACCCGTGACACCTGCCGGGAGGAAATTAATAAAGAGCCGGGCCTCACTCACAGCGGTAGATAGGGCACAGAATCATGAAAACAGGACCCAAAAGCAAATGCAAGTCTAAAGCGCTGCTAGAGGAGGCTGACCTATTGAAAGTACAAAGACATACCTCTGCTGTTGGCTATTACTCTTAATGGCTGTGTGGAAAGTGAGAAAAGATGAAAATCTTACTCTTTCACTATCCCTCAAAGCCATGCAGATTAACCTTATATTACTCATACGGCTTAACTTGATCAATAGTAAACAACTTTTACTACCAGAAATGAACCACTCATATATTACAAAGGGAAAAAATCTGATGACTGTGAATAGATTATTTTTTAGAAATCTAAAAGCCCAATGGTCGGCATTTAAAAAGAACATTTATATTGACTCTTACAATAACATAAAGTGGGATAAGTTTTGGGTTACATTGCAATTAATAGTGTAAAAATATATTGTGCAAAGAATCACAATCTGAACTAAATACATATTCTCAACACGGAAGAGAACTCAACAGCCAAATAGAAAAACAAACTCCAATTTATAGCTCATCAAACCACTTCCATTTTAGAATATTTCCATTTCAATTTTTCTAAAACACAGTGTAATAAGTTTTATTGGTATAGCAAGCAGCAGGTGTCGCTTTTCACAGACACGTGTACTTAGAGTCCATGGGCTGGCTGTTCATCATGTCCCCTTCACCCATGCCCATGTCTTCCACAGACCAGTGACAAAAACAGCCCAAGATGCATACAGTCAGACACAACCGTGCATACCACTGTTGACAGTATTAGTTCACGAAACCTAGAGAATCGGACAGAGGTCCAGACACGAACAGAATGTGGCAGGAGGTAGTTGGTGCCCAGTGTACCCATGCTGTGACCTTGAACATGTGTCCTGAATGAGCAGTTATTGGAATGTCCAAGAAAGTTTTTATTTAAAATTGGTGAAGCTCCAACCCCTAGACGTGTAGGATTATTACTTCTTCATTAAACAAGAAAAATTGCTCATAACCATTCCCCACATGACTCCATGTAGTGTTGAGAATCACTGGCTCAGAATAAGCCTCAATTAACTGTACTGTAAAATGGAACAGTAAGGAGAGAGATACCCTGACCAACTCAAATTTCAGAAGGATATTTGACCCAGAATAGATGGAGAACGACCTTCTGTTATTTTGCAGTATTAGGGTGCTTGTTTATATGAAATTTCTCGCATACACACACTTGCAGTTATGGTCCAAATGTTATTTTTGTAATGCGCTTACACACATCATTAAAAAGATGAATACTTCTCTGGTTTCATTAATGATTAATTTCAGTGAGCAATAGCGTTTAGCAGAATAAATGTCTTTCTGCCTCCCCTTTCATTTCTGTCTTTCAAAATCAACCAAATCCTTAAATCTCAAATATCGTTCTGCAAGTGTAAATAACATGTCATATCCAACTGTTCCGATCATGACACTCATATATAATTATAGTTTTACTATTAAATGTATGAGACATATGATCTCACTGTTAATCTGGGATAAAAAAGGTCTATTTCAGTTATTAAAATCAAACCAGTATTTACCCACGAGCCCCTGCAGAGGCAGGGCATCTTTATTCTGAGCCTCGAAGCTCAGGGTGATATTCACGTGTGCCAGCCCACCAGGCCAGACGGACCACAGGAAGACTGTGACAGCACTTTGTGAGGAAGAATAATAATAGCACATCTTTTCTGACTGTACCTCTAGTCGTGATCCAATTTGGAATAAAAGTCTATCCTCACTTAATTTGTTACGACGAACAAAACCTGTATGATCTCCCAGATTTCAGGGGATTTGATTATGGCCCACACTGAAGAGAAGAGTATATAAATCGTAGAAGCAGTCACTGGTTTGCCCTTCACCCGGCTGAGCTAACCAGGCAGACCAGAGGCAGTCTTGTGAGGAGAAAGCAGTCCTGCTCCGCCGGCCGGAAGTGGGGAGCACGCAGCCCCTGGTCCTGCTGCTCTGAACCAGCCATCTGTGCAGCGGTTGCTTGTAGACTAGAGTGACACAGACTGCAGATCTGACGCTAGGGGGCGAGCAGTGCACCAAAACCCTTATTCTCCAGCCCTAGCAGGTGGAGGATACAGAAAGGAGCAAAATCATCTGACGTCGCGCTTTCTCTTCTCACCTGCAATTTTTCAGACAGTGAAAGTCCAAGGCAATGACATCTCCCACAAGCTTCAGATTTCCAAAGTGAGGAAAAAGGATGAAGGTCTCTACGAGTGCAGGGTGACGGATGCCAATTACGGGGAGCTTCGGGAGCACAAGGCCCAGGCCTACCTGAAGGTCAACGCCAACAGCCACGCCCGCAGGATGCAGGCCTTCGAAGCCTCGCCCATGTGGCTGCAGGACGCGAAGCCTCGCAAGAACGCCTCCGCCGCCCTCCCCAGCCTGGCCCACAGCTCTGCCAACCAGCGAACGCACTCCACCTCCAGCCCGCAGGCCGTGGCCAGGATCCCCAAACAAAGTCCGCAATCAGGTATGGAAACCCACTTTGAGCCGCTCACTTCCGCCTGCAAACCCTGGGCAGAGGGCAGCGGAGCGGAGCAGACAGCTCGGCCCGCTGGGGGTTAGAAGGTTGCGCCGGCCGCTGAGCGCTGGACTCCTTGTTCCTTCTGCACTTACACAGCGTAAGAGCGATAAATCCCTCACGCTGGCTACATTATAAATGCATGTTCATTCCTGCTGTTGGATGTATGTATCGATAATGACCCAAACTAAGAGGCGTTCACTTGCCCTACATGGAAACGAAAGAGACTCTATGGTCCACTTGGGGAGCGGCCCCTAGCTGTGAGCAGCACTGTCTCCCAGGTTTCTGAGTCTGCAGGAGCAGCTGAGAGCCAGGACGCTGCTGGAGGAGAGGGCAGGCACAGGAGAGCAGCTCTGGCCAGGGCAGTGCGAGATGCAGCGAGTCACACCTGAGTCAACTGTACAAGTGCAGGCTGCGCCGTGGCTGATTCTGTAACCCTTGAGCCCCTGCAGACGCCAGGGTTTAGCTCTGACCCGCAGGGCCAAGGCCAGGGCCTGACCAGCCGAACAGGTGCTGGGTGCTGCATCAGAGGAGAAGGGAGAGCAGAGCTCTTAGCCGTGGTCACCCACCAAGTACTTCTCTTTACATTTTACCCTGAGAGAACTAGTGACGCTGTGGCGGGAAGAGAAAGCTATTCTATCGCTGATATTTACGGTCTCTGTCTGTAGCCAGGTTGCATTTTTCATTAGTGTACATGTGCACACATAGCTCAGAAACTGTCTTCAAGTGTGTACAAAAAGTATAGATGGGTGCTGAGGTAGGAAGCCTCAAGTGCAAGCCCAGCTTGGGGCACTTAATGACTTACTGAGACCCTATGTCAAAATAAAAAACTAGAAAGGGCTGGAATGTGGCTCAGTGTGAAAGCCCTGGATTCTGTCACCTATACTGAAAAAACCTAAAATATATGCAATTTCCACAGTAGGTGGAAATCCTTGCTTGTGAACAATACTTTTTTTTTTTTTGGTACCAGGGATCGAACTCTAGACTTTGCGCTTGTGAGGCAGGTGGCAGAACTGCTGAGCTAAATCCCCGGCCTGTGAACAATACTTTTAATGAAACGTCATGTGCCAGGGCTGGAGGGTAGCTCAGGGATACAGTATTTGCCTAATTTTTACAAGGCCCCGGGCTCCATCCCGAGAACCACAAAAAAGAAAAATACACAGAGACACGGAGTGAAACAAATGTCAGCACTGAAGCCCCTATGTGCCTCCTGTTCAAAGGAATCTGAGGGGCAGACCTGGGGCCCGGTCCATGCTCCCCGCAGGGCAGACCCGGGCCCCACGCCTGCTCCGGGCGGTGCCCTCGAGGGGCAGAGCATAGCATAGCCTCCCGGGGCCCATCCCTGTGACTTTCTCATTTTCCTCTTTAGCATCACTTTGATTCTCAAATGAAAGGACAAAACCACCGAGCTAATAATGGTTTTCACTGCGTGGCAGGGTGCACGCACACATTTATGCCTCAGCCACAATTTTGTAGTCATTATTGAACCCAGATTTAGTGTCTGGGAGGTCTTGCCCCTCTTCCCGCACAGTCTCAGGAGGAGCAGGCAGCCACAACCTGCAGAATTACACAGTAGCCGTGGCAGATAATTTACAGTCTAATTAGCGAGGGCTCCACATCGTGGAAGTGGACTTATTAGCCTACGCAGCCTGTCCCAAGCTAGCGTTATAAATTCATTTTGTGGAATAAAATCAAACATTACCTCTTCCTAATGAAAGATTGTAAGCAGTGAATGAAATGTTCCAGCTACTGAAAGAGTTCATTTATGGAATTGAATAATATACTCTAAAAATGTCTATTTTCTTTTATTATCTCTTTCTTAGCACTGTGATTGGAGTAAAATTATACACTCCAGATAGCTTTAAACAATTTTCAAATAGAAATCATCGCTTATTTTCTATTTCACTACCAGCCTTACTATTTGGTACAGAATTTTTTTTTCTAGAGTTCAGTATGAAAGGAGATGAAGAATGTTTTTACCTTATATTTACTAAAAGCCTTTTTCTCTAAGATTTCTCTTCCTATAGCAAAGATTAATCTGAAGTATCTTAAGATATTTAATCCGTTTTACCAGTGGGTCCTAGAAACTATTTTGTATATTTTGTTCAACATTCTGCATGATTTCAGAAGTTAGGGTGCCCAGCCGCCCATTCCTCTTGGGTACGTTTTCCATTTGCACAGTCGCGGTACACAGCACAGTGCCTGCGATGGACATTTGTTACCTTCGCTAAGTACCTGCCTCCAGGTTCATAATTCTGCTTTACAGTTATCCAGATTATGTTCAGATAAAGCCTATTTCCAGGCCCCTACTTCATTTATTTATTCATTTTTTTCACCTTCCATTCCTTCAGGGAACTCACGGCCCAGGAACGGGACATAGAGATATCAGACAAACTTTCTCTCCTCAGTGGTTGTAAGAAAACAGAACAGGGTAAATTTCTTTTACAGCACATCATTTTTATTCTAGTAAAAGCAAGACATGGTGAAGACACAAAAATTAAAATCTTCAGCAAGCAAAAGCTAGCCCTTTTAGCCTCTTATATTTTATCATTTGACATAAAAAGCAGAGTTCATATATATGACATTAGAACAACCTATGACACAAAACTCCTGGTTCATGTAGCTTTTTATTCCTATCACTCTTGATTTTTACTTCTTTCACTAAATTATTTAAACTAAAACACTTCGCTCCTAATTCATACTAGTTTTCTGTCAAATAGGGCTTATGTCTGAAAATAACTTTATATAAAATCCTCAAGTTGTCCTATAATTAATTTAACCAGTTGCCCTACAGCAGAAATTGCCTTGGAGAGAAGGTGGAAAGGATAGTCTATGACTATCTGCATAGGGCAAGATGGGGAACTAAATATCATTTAATAAATATCATAAAATATCCTAGATATTTTTTCCAAAAGTGTGGCTGTCCACTCCCACTTTAAACTGTTTTATTTTTCTTTCTAAATCCTTCCATGAACGATAGGTAAATTATAAATTCTTAACTTTCTAAATTGTATGAATTCTATCTCTATGTCTAATCAACAGAACAGAATGATGAGGAGAATGGTACAGGAAGCAGATAAGCCAAACTTGGCGTGCAGTCTGGCTTTCTCATCCTCTGCTCTCGTGGCCCTCTACTTTGTGTCACTGTGACTAGTGGTGTTCGTGGTAAATCTGTGCCCCTGCTTTTCCTTATGTTTACATAAACCTTAGAAAGAGGAAAAGTGCCCGCATTTCTGATGTACAGGGAAAGCAAGAGGTGGAGTTACAATTTAAAGGAACATTCTGCAGATGCTGTAAGGAGGAAGCATCCGGGTGCAGCATCTGGATTTGAGCTGCTTTGCAGGAAGGGGCTGGGACACTGGGCAGCTGCTATGAGCAAGGGTAGTGAAGAAAGTCTTTTCAGGTTGGAAGGTGCCATTGCTCCACAGGATGTGGGAGATCTTGGGGTCCTTTGGGTTGAAGGGGTGCAGTTCCCTCTTCACAGAGCACCTGGAGAGTCTTCAGCTCCCTCCAGCACTTCCCCAACACCTAACATGCTAAGCATCCTCTGGGCCTGTCTTTTCTCTCATCCGGTATCCCAGCCTCTCAGAATCTAGCTATCCCTTCCTAGACCACGTCCACCAGTCCTTTCTTTGTTGTGCTCTTTTCTTCTCAGGGGAGCAGGGTGGGGGTCCTAAAATCAGGCTAACGAAGCTAGGAAACAGCTTCCCCCCCTCCTGCCCCAGGGGGTACACCTGCTCCGGGAGGGCCGCTCCTGTGCTTCCCTTTTTCACCTCCGTCCCTTCAAGTTCCTCTTGCTGTCAGGTCACCTCCTCTTCAGAGGCACTGGTGTCTCTCGAGCTCCGGACTCGCACAGCTTTGACAACTCACCTGGGCCAGTTTCAGGCTCATCTGCGCCCTGGCCTCCAGGAGGCTCTCCTCTCTTGTGTTCCTGGGCTGGCTCCTTGATTACCGCCTCCTGTCAGTGCTCCCCTTTCTCCTTCGCTGCCTGTCCCTGCTTGGTACCTCTTTCGGTGCCGTTCTCTCCTCCTCCACTTCTTGATCTTATCCATCCCCTTGGTTTTGAATACTAACTTTTCCTTAGAAAATGTTCCCATTTCCATTTCTGCTTCTAACTGTTTTCAGAGATCTACGCTAGGGTTAACTCTGGTCCCCAAAATATCTTCACATGTGTGTCTCGTAGGCCCAGGAGCAGATTAAAGATGGCGGCACAGTTGTGGACAACCCACCCATTAAGAGCTGAAGGCTGTTGTCATTGGCCTGCAGCTCGGGCTGGCCTGTGACCATTGTCACCAAGGAAGTATGAAGAAGTGATACTATCACAGTTTCAGACCTGGCCTTGAAGGGAACTGGCAGTGTTAGCCATGACCTTTCAGAAGGCCACCATACAGGAAGTTCAGCTCCCTGGAGGCTCTTGCGGGTGAAGTCCTGGGCAAGGCACCACCCGTGGGAGTAAGGTCACCTTGGACAGAGCCTCCCAGCCTTCCTCCGACCTCACCCCCAGCTGCTGGTGCACTGCAGGCTCCTTCCCAGGAACCCAGACAACCTGCAGCACAGGGAGTGATGATGACCAACTGGCATTTCAAGGCAGTTAAGAGGTAAGGGTGCCCTTTTTCACAGCCACAGACACTCGGATCAGGCGCTTAAAACTCAAATATTCAGAACTGAGTTTTTCTTTCATTAAGTTTATTGGTACATTTCAGGTATACAGTACAGTTACATTCATCATTGGGATCTTGCGCCTTTACATGATGCATCTTGGTTCTTATTTTTTCCCCATTCCCCTGCCCTCCCTTCACCCCTCCCCTTCCCTATTTACAAAGTCTTTGTTTCCATTTTTTCCAGTTTATTCTGGCTTTCTCACCAAAAAGAAACGTTCTTCTTCCCATGTCCCCAAACTCTTAATAACATCAGACCAATCACAGGCCTTGCAGAAACCTCGGAAATGC